TTATCCGCTGACAGTAACTGAAAATAATTAAGTGACTGAGACGAGAAGGATTTATTTATGTTCAACAATTTAGTTCTAACTACGCGTTCTAAATTTTATAATGTACTTCAATGGAAATTGTGAAAAGGTCGTTGATTGTATTCAAGAGTATAAATGCTTGCCAGCAACTTAAGGAACTACGTAATAATAAAGCAGTTTCCAAAGGAAATGAAATCGCCTCATCGGCATTTATCAGTAAATTGATAAAAGTTAGTTACTTTACTTACGTTAGTGAAAGTGAATTGGGGTGTTTCTTGTTGGGTTATTGTCTTGGCTCTCTTCTGCGCCGGCGGTGTCATATCTTGTGCCTGAATATGATTAGGTCAATTCATTATTCTGGTTTGACTTAATTTAAGCTACAAGAAGTGGTCGTTGATCGTTCGGAGGATTGTCTTTGCTAAATCAATATAATTGTTGATTAGTTCCAGAAAAAATGCCATTCTGAATGCGTACCGTGTTCGGCAGTGGTATGTTCAATGCGGCATATTTCCCCTGATGTTCGGCCGCCTCAATCAAAACGTGACACCCGTGGCCGTAGATTTTGGCCGCTTCACCAGTGCCAAGCGGGTGCACGAACAGTATTACACCTCTCATACGGCACAGCGCTTCGATTAGTATTCCGGTGTTGCGCTCTTCCCTGGCGTACCGGACTAAAAAAATTAGTTGATGAATGCAGCGACGAGAATGAGACTTTTTCATTGTTCTTATTTTCTTTACATCACTATTTGCCTTAAGTCTTCTATTCAAGAAATAAAGGTTTATTTATGTATTCACAGAATTAAAGCGCATTCAAGTAGAGCTGTAATTAATTTGCTGATGAGTTAATTGCTGAATATGTAAATATGTATATTCATTTCACTCACTTTTTCGCCCACTTCAGCTCTCACTACTAGAGATTATTACTATGATCGTTCAATAATCAAATGAATTTAGAGGAATTCAATACATTTCGATTAGTTCTTCATGTACCATATTAGGTGACATAACGTGTAATGCGCAATGAAATAGTGAGTGATTGAGCAATATTCAACGCATAAAGTAAGTATGAGGTGCGATTCGTGTGCTGTATTTAAGAGTTCAGAGACTTAATAGTGGATTTAAGGGTGAATAGTGATAGCGAATTGAAATTAAAGCGAATTCAATATATTGAATCGCTCCTGTTAA